TTATATAGAAGTCACACCTATCTGAGGTCGGCTAATAAAAATCTATGTGTCAAACATGTTAGAGAACTAACACAAAGTTAGTTTCCTAAAATATGTATCACAAAAGTCAGAAAAACAAAAGAAGAAGAAAAATAAGGAGAGATGAAAGTTGAGACACTCATGTATGAGATCATTTATCAACAAGCGAAAGACTCAAAGTATTATCCAACTAGGGATAGCCTATCTCTAATACAAAATACCATAAATTATCAGATGATCATTTATAAGCAAGTATGAATCAACCAATGAATCATCACACAAACACTTGAAATGTTGAACACATAATCAACTAAGCAGTCATCAAAAGCCAAATCACAAATATTCTGAAATATGAATTAAAATAAAAAGAAAATCAAATAAAATAATTTTAAAATGATCAAAAATGGAAATTAAAAGGAAATATTCAAAAGGAGCATTAAAATTCAAATTAAATGGTAGAGAAAATTATGAGAAGTCCAAATTATTGCAAATAAAAGGATCTCAAAAGTTGGATGCAAAAATATCTGAAAATGATAAAAAATAAAATTGAAAATGGAAACGAGGAGGGTTACTCCAAATCTAGTAAATATGTAGTTTTTGAATAATTTGATGACTACATGAGTGTCGTTGGTGGGTGAGGCAACGACCTCAATCCATTTAGACACGTAGTCTACGACTACTAAGATGTACTTATTTTCCATCGAAGATGGAAACGGTCCCATAAAATCTATTCCCCAAACGCCAAAGACTTCCACTTCTTAGATATTCCTTAAGGGTATTTCGTCACGCCTTGAAACGTTTCCAGTGCATTGACACAGGTCGCATCTGACTATGTAAGCATGGATATCGTGGCATAAGATTGGCCAGAAAAGGCCTGCTTGAAGAATCTTGGCGCATGTTTTAGATGTTCTCGCATGTCCACCAAAAGGCGATTCCTTCTTTGAGAGTATTGGTTGATGTGAAGCTTTGCGAAGCTAAATGGGTGTAAACTAGATTGAATCAGTTGAGTCTTATTGATGAGAAGAGATTGACAACCATTGCTCATGACCGGTTGTAACAGAGTAGGATGAAGAAAGCCTTTGATCAAAAATTGCGTCCTCGGTGCTTTCAGATAGGTGATTTGGTTTTGAAAAGGATCTTTCCTCCTCAGACAGATCACAGAGGAAAATGGACTCCAAACTATGAAGGTCCATATGTGGTAAGAAAGGTTTTTTCTGGTGGAGCCTTATTACTATCTACTATGGATGGTGAACATTTTACGTCCCCTGTGAACGCAGACGTAGTTAAAAAATACTTTGCTTAAAATAGACCAACTGGACAACAGAAAGAAAAGTCCAGGCAGAAATGAGGCATCCTGGCGAACCATAAAAAGAACAGGTTCGTGCAAAAATTAGGGGTAAAAAGAAAAACAATGAACTCGCAAAGTTGAAAATCTGAAAGGCAACTTTGGCAAAAATGAGTATCCCGGTGGATTGAAAACCCGCAAGGGCGATCCAAGAAAAAGTTAGGGATTTGAAAGCAAACGACTACAGTCTGCATTCGATCTATGAACTCATCCTGATATACAGTTATCCCAAAGGAAATGAATCAGTCCAATCATTCTTTTCAGAAGGCGAAACATTTGTGAGCATCGAACACATGCAGGTCATAGTTGAATCGATACATGGTGGATATTTGTTCCCACGTTACCGATATTTGTATATTCTGCTCAATTACCTCTTTTCAAGAATTGCATCCAAATTATAACTTGCTTATTTACAGACATTTCATCAATAAAGTTTCATTTCATTCAAAGAGTTTTTCATTTTTGTTTTTACTTTTACTGTTTTGTTTGCAAAAAAGTTCAATATTTTTGATAAACATTACAGGTGAAAACATAAGGCTTTACAGAGCATACTGAAAATGATGAATTTACTTGAACGATATGTATCATGAGTGGCAACTGAGGTAGCCGTTTTGCATGTAGAATATCCTATTGTTTCTTGTTTGTTTGCAGGATGACATGATCCTCTCCCTAGTAGAGCTTTTCTCCCCAATGGTGAAGTTCTAACAACAGTGCATGATAAATCATTCCTCTCCTAGCAGAAGTCCAGAAGATCCACATTTGATTTGTACTCCTCAGCGAGTGCTTAAGGGTCTACTTCATGTAGAATGGTGTTGATATGCAGTCAGACATTTACACAACAAAGTTTTTGTCTCTCCCCACAAAGTCCTGTTATCAGATCAGAAGTACTGTCACCACAGAGGTGTACAACGTATCTCCAACAAGGTAAGGATGCAAGATATTTCCTCAGCAGCAAAGTAAACTCAGTATTACTCTTCAGCAAGATCGACGTCCTTGACGTCTTTCCTTAACAAGATCGATATCCTTGACTTCTTTCCTAAATATTTTTAAAATAATAATATTCTGTTTTTAAAAAAATAAGATTTTTTTGTTTTTAAAATATTATAATAATATAAATATTTTTAAAAATAATATTATTCTATTTTTAGAAATATATATTAACAATAATATTCTGTTTTTAAAAATTAATATTTTTCAATTTTAAAAAAATAAAATTATTCTACTTTTAGATGTATAACATTATTTATTTCTAAAATTGATAATATTATTGTTTTACATATATTTATTTATTTATTTATTTATTTATAATATTTACAAAATCTATATTATTTCTAAAATCTATATATTTAGACAAATAATAAACCAAAATCAATACTATTATTTACTTCTCAAAACACGAAAAAAAAATTGAAATTTACATTTACCATATAAACTATCACTAAAATATGCTACATAAATCTAACTATTAACTAATTTCATCAACAAATTTTTAAAATATACTACACAAATCTAACTATACTATTTTTATGATAAAGACTAAAAAAAACAAAATTTAAGGCAACTCATACAACCCATTGTTTAATAACAAACAATATAGGTACCTTAATTAATGGATTTGATGAATATCTTGATGTAAATCTGAATCCAGCAAAAAAAAATTAAATGGGAGAAAATTTTGATTTTTGATAAAATTTGGAGATGAAAGAAATTTGGAGGGGTTTGGAAAGAATGTGAGACAAGTTGAGAAAGAAGGAGAGAAAACGCTTGGGAAGAAGAAACAAGAAGAGTTGAGAGATGGAGACTAAATGCTGAGTGGTTGGTATTTATAAAGAGGTTGTGAGGTGAAAATCACCGTGCAATTTTTTTTACCGTTGAGGCTTGCGAAGTACATTTCACCTTGCAACCCTTGTGTTAGGAAAAAAATTAAAACAATCAACATCTACCACAACGTTCACCTGCTCCTCTGCGTAGTAATTATGAATCTAACCGTTGGGGTTTGCGAGATACATTTCACCTCGCAACGCAAGCAACTCCTTTCCCTTGTGAAGTACCATTCAACTTGCAACTCTTGTGCCAGAAAAAAAAGTTAAAACGGTCACCAACCACTAGGGCTGGAAATGAGTCGAGTCGAGTCGAACTCACCTCAGCTCGGCTCGACTCGTTAAGAATTGTTCGAATTCGAGTTCGAGTTCGAGTTCGACACGAACTTTTTTTTAAGCTCAAACTCGACTCGTTATAAGTTCACGAACAGTTCGGTTCGACTCGTTAGGTTCATCTCATTAGGTTCAGCTCACATGGTTCACGAACTTTATAACTATTTTTTAAAAAATATATATTTTTTAGTATATTTGACATTTTAAATAAATATATATTTTTAAAATAAAAGTTATCATATTGAAATTTAACTTTATCTTCGAAATCTACTAATTCAAAACCTACACAACTTTCAAGAGATACATTTGAGAGTCTAATTCAAAAACTAATAAATTGAAGATTAAATTTGTCTAAGATTTGAAGTAAATATTTAAACTTAATCTTAAAGACAGTATAATTCTTTTTATATGTAATCGAGTTGACTCATGAACCTAACGAGTCGAACTATGTATAGTTCAAGTTCAGCTCATTTAGTTAACGAACTTAATTTTTCGCTCATACTCAACTCATTTGGTTCATGAACCTAGTTCAACGATTTAATTGTCGAGTCGAATTCCGAACTATCTTCGAGTTGGTTTGGTTCATTGCCAGCCCTACCAACCACTCTGAGCATTAATAATTGCAACATTTAATTTTTTCTCCAATTTTTTAAAACTAGGTTGCGGAGTGATTTTCACTTCGCAACTCTCTTTTCAAAATTTTTAAATTTTCCTATATCAGTTGCAAGAAGGAAAAACTTATTTATTATTTTTTGACGAAAAACTATATTGTGAGGTGAAAAACATCCCGCAAATATATTTTTTTGTAAGGTGAAAAACATCTGACATAATTACCTGACTAATTCAAATTTTATTTGTAGTGTAAATTATATTATTATATTAATATATAAAATATATATATAGTCTTGTTGTGTCCTATGATTTTACATTAGTGGGATCTCTGTGTCTGTATTCTTCCGTATTTGTCTTCAAGTCTAGACTCCACAGTATATTTATAACATTTTATCATTATAAAAATCTCGTTGTTTTTCCGGCTATTACTGGCCTTTTGTTTCATCAAATTTTATACTATTTTGGATTTTCTTTAATACTTTGTTTTTGGAGCGTTGCTAATTATGTAATTAAACATTTTACATAAACCTACCTGCAACACCACATGCAAGTTATTAAATTATATATATATATATATATATATATATATATATATATATATATATATATATATATATATATATATATATATATATATATATATATATATATATATATATATATATATATATATATATATATATATATATATATATATATATATATATATATATATATATTATATGTTTCCTACCAATTGCAACACCACATGCAGATGTTCAGAATATGTTTCCTCTTCTCTCTATATATACAAATAAATCCTCAAGTCGAAATATCTAATTCCATCAAAGAAAAAATTCAGAGGACTTAAACAAGTCACATAACTCAAAACCATGGTTTATTGGTCTGCAGAAAATGCCACAAAAGCCTTTCTCAGCACTTTCAAAATGGTCAGTATATTCATCATTATTTTGTTTTCACAAGTTTTCAATTTATATATATTATGTTGTCAAAATTTTCCTTTCTACAACAATTCTTTTTCTGATCTGATTTTTGGTTATTTTTCAATAGGGCCAAAAGGCTAAAGAACCATCTGCTGCTCAATATATTTCAGCACTAGCAGCTGGAAACAATGCACAGTTAATGGTTGTTGCTTGTGCTGCTGCAGCTGATTCTACAACGCTTGCACTAATTGCTGCTGCTAATCAAACTAATGGAAATGTTGTTTGCATTGTTCCCAACAATGAAGATCTAATTGCATCCAAAACTGTCCTAGGAGTAGTTTCTAATAAAGTTCAGTTCATGACTGGAAAAGAAGCGCGAGAATTATCGGTATTAAACCAAGCTGATTTTGTGGTAATTGATTGTAACCTTGTGAATCACAAAGAGATTTTGAAATTAGTCCAAATTGGTGAAGGTAATATGAAAAAGGGTGTAGTTGTTGTTGGGTATAATGCATTTAGTTGTAAAGGGTCTTGGAGATCTAATGGATCAAAAACAAAATTGCTTCCTATAGGAGAAGGATTGTTGGTTACAAGATTTGGATCTGAAATGAGTAAGAGTGGTCGAAGTCGGTGGATTGTGAAGGTTGATAAATGTACAGGTGAAGAACATGTATATAGAGTTAGACTTCCACAAGGAAAGGTTATTTAAGCCTCATCATCTAAGCCTAATTGTCAGTACTGGTGGCTACTGGTGGCTTTCCGAGTGTGCGGCAGATTTGCTTGTTGTGAAGGTATATAAAGTATCTAAGAGGCCCTAACTCCTTGATACAAAACTTCTTGTGAAGAATGACTTTAAGATGTTGAATTTCTCATGTTGTTTCCTTGTTGAAACTAAGTCATCTACATACACTAATAGTAAAGCATTAAATTTATTATAACAAGATTTTGTAAATAGAGAGTAATCATCATTTGAAGTAGTATAACCAAGAGAAATCAAGGAATGAAGAAATTTTGAATACCATTGTTTGCTGATCTGTTTAAGATCATAAAGACTTTTGTTGAGTTTATAAACTTTGACAGTGATGGATAAATGAAGAAGTTTATATCATTTTGACATGATAATATAAACTTTTTCATTTTAAATTTCATGAAGAAAAATATTATAGACATGTAGTTGTTCTAGATGCTAATTTTAAGTATAAGTTAACGCGAGAAGAATCTTTATAGTGGTTAGTTTATCTATAGAGGAGAAGGTATCAAAATATTAAACATCCTCTGGTTGAGTTTATCTATAGTGTCTTTCTTTTATTTTTTGTATTAACGGAGTTTGTAATAGATATTCTATGAGACGTACTTGTCGAATCACCCATGTCTGTATAAATTAAAAAAAAAGCAACATATAATAGAGACACCAACATGAACTTCAAAGGCACATCACACAAAACTTCATCCAAAGTGATTCAGAACATAGAAACATACTAACTAGAAATATGCATAACAGTTAAGTAATAACACATTGTTTATTTCTAACACAAATTTAATCACACTGTTATTATTTCTAACACATCGCATGAACATGATTAAATATTTGTTCACCGGTGTTCTTGATAAACAATCACTTAATTTTAAGTTAATTACTTGAAAGTCCAAACTAGTAAATCTTAGGACAAGTTTATGTCGATTTTTTAAAAAAAGGGAGTATGTGTTTGATTGTGTTGAATTTCATAAGTATTATTTGTTGTTTTTAGGAAATTAAACTTGTGCAATATAACTGATAGACGAATTTCGATTGGGTCGAACTTAGTCCTGAATGTTAAAAAGAAAACAAACAATAAAGAAATTTACATTTAGAAAAAATGTATTTGTATAAATGTAAAAGTGGTAAACAAGTATGTTTGTATAGGAAACTCGTTTCTCTCTTATGTGCGAGTACTTTGAGTGTTATTGAAGTCTACAATATTTTGTCACCCCTAATCCTAATGTTTGAATCACTATTTATAATGGTATAAATTAACTGCCTTTCAACGTTCAAATAATCCTTTGTCCGCCACATCAACGCTGCTTGTAGATTTCGCTTGATCCAATCTGCACATGCCTCTGCCGAATTTTGATGTTGTTGTTGTTGATATTATTATATGTCATTTTTGTTGGAATGTATGACATGTTGTTGCTGGCCTGTAATGGCATGTTGCATTGTTTAGATGGTCGTTGTTGTTGTTATGGTCATGCATTTGATGGTTGCATGAGTTGTGGGATAAGCTATGTGTCCATGTGGGGTGTGAGCGTCTTATCCATATTCTAATTGTGCAATTATATCGTTGTTGTTATTGTTTTTGTTGAGGTGATCGTGTGCCCATGTGAGGTGTGAGCGATCAAGGTGATTCGTGTGCCCATGTGGGGTGTGAGCGATCACGAAAGTCATGTGCCCATGTGCGGTGTGAGCGATCACCGTGATTTGTGTGCCAATGTGGGGTGTGAGCGATCACGGAAGTCGTGTGCCCATATGCAAATTCCGAAGGGAATTGTGATCCTGGGGGTCGGGTTATGAAATAGGGACCGATGGTGCCACATGCATTGAGTCAAGTCGTGAGTCTTAATGCATTGCATTATTGTTTTTTTTGTTGTTGTTGTTGTGCTGAATTTGTTGTCACGTCGGTTGTAACTGTAACACCCCAAATTTTAATTGGAATACTTAATTTAATTTATTTAAATAAGAATATTCGCATTTCGGTGATTTTTGGTGGTTTTGTGGAGTTATTAAGAATTATGCATTTTTGGGTTATTTATTTAATTAATAGTATATAATATGAATATATTAGTATTATTATTAATTAAAATAAATATATGTGAAATAAGGGCAAATTGGACAATGGAGAGGAGTTAGTGAGGGTAATATGGGAAAAGCCCAATTGTGAGGCCCAAGACTAGGTTTAACAAAAAAAAATTGTGAAGGGATTAGGATTTATTTGTTAGACCGTGAAAAGAATTGAGGACAGAGCTCTGAGGAAAGGATTGGAGGCAGAAGCTTTGAGAGATTCCCTGAAAGATTTGTGAAGGCTTTGAATCGACGATTAAGTTATGGGGAGTATTACCTTAATGATTTTCCATGTGTAACTTTCAATGTATTTAAGGTCGATTTAAGGTTTAAGGGATTTTGAGGGTGGATATGAGAAACAGTGATCTTTGGCCTTCATGGCCTAAATCTGTTATTGTGAATCTAACCGTGGAATTCATTGGGGAAAAGGAAAAGTTAGGGCTTCGTGGCCAAAACCATGAATTGTTATTTGTCTAACCCTGAAGGGATAGGAATATTAGATAATGAGTAACTCTAATGCCTTGGGATAATTGTAGGGAAATTTTTGATTTAGGGCGTGAATATGATACGGGATTGGCCTAATAAACCGTAGGTTTTGTGCCTTTATCTCCGTAAGACCTTAGGGATGATTTAGGGATGTTTTAGGGACATTGGGGAAGTGAATCGTATGGACATTTGAGTGGATTTAGGTTCTGGTGCGTAGCAGAATTTGCTGTTATCGCATTGTTCGCCTAGCGAACCATGTTATTCTCAGACTCGCCTGGTGAAGAAACTCGCCCCAGACTTGCCTAGCGAACATGCCATCGAACGTAGCAGAGTTTCGTGAATGTTGATCGTGTGCAACGATGCCTTGATGTTTGATTATGTGATTTCTTTGACGAATTAACATGAGTATGACTGTGAGTTTTATGTGATGTGTACATGATTACATGATGATTTCTATGATGTATTAATTGGAAAACTATAATGATATTACCATGACTTTGATGAATTATATGATGACATGAGATATGATGATGATGAATATGATGAATGATGATGCACCATGCTGTTATTATGAGGATGATTATTGACGTGTGCATCATGCATCCGGACTTCGGTTCAGGACCTCGATTACTTTGGCTTCAATCCAATTGTGCGGATGTGAAGTGTTTTGATGTGCTCCGGTTCTCAGGTAGAATCGATCCTATTGATGGGGATCTATGGAGGGTTGATGGCCCAGTGTCCATCGCGCTGTGATGATTGGTACCACATGCATTGAGTCTTGTTGTATTTGCATTTATGAGTCATTTGGAATAATTTATGATGTTGTGGCCTTTGAGGCCTATTGAAGGATATCGATGTGTTGAATATGATAATGACGCCATTTTATATGTTGATTTTCTATATTGATTATTATGAATCGTTTTACTCACCTTGCCTGTTTAAATGTTGCCTCCACGTGGGTAACATGCAGATGACCAGGTTTAGTTGTGGATGCCATTGAGGACTTTTGAATTTTTTGAGTTGTTAGCCTTTTGGTTAACTTAGAGGGTTTTGCTCTGATAGTGTAACATCTGGTTGGGGTCTTTGAGTTAAACTATGTTTTATTTGAGTTATTTTGATTATCTTTCTGCATAAGGAAAACTTTGGATTATGCCTTTGAGTTCCGCTGCCTTTGTGCAATTTTTGATGCCTTTTGGGAAAACCCGTTGTTTACGGAGCCTTGACTTATTTTGTTGATTTGGGAAATGTACGCTCTTTTGGGTGCTTTTTTATGAAATTTAATAATTACTTTGATATCTGTGTTATTTTGCCATAATATTTGTGGGTTAGAAAATGGTGTTACAATAACTGCTATTGTAGAGTAGTATGTTGTGGAATGGGCGTTTGTGCATTAGAAATTTAATGGTTGCTTTTTTATCATGTTTTCCTTTATCTATTTATGATATATCACCCCTTCTGTTTAAATGTTTCCTTTACATGGGCATCTTGCAGATAAAACGCAACAAAGGAGTTGAAGTACGTAGAAGATGAAGTCTTCTATTTTCTCTTTAGTATCAGCGTCTGCTCTGATTTGTAACACCGGGGTCAGGAAACGTTGTGTTATGTTGAGTTCGATGAAGATATTTGAATATATCTAGAATAATTGTTGTTTATGTTATTTTGAAGAATAATTATGCCTTGAATAACTGTTTATGTTGATGCTTCCGATACTGCAATAAAGTTTTGAAATTAAGACATGTGGAGTTGCTTTGGTAATTTTAAATAATTTTCAAATATTTGCATGTGTTACATATTTTAATATATTAGCAGCTGACTGTGTTGAATTGTGTGATATCCTAAATATGAAATATTTGAATTTACTCTGATTTTTAATTAAACACGCGGGGTATATTTGGGGTGTTACAGAAAACCTTTTTGGAATTCTTAAATGGCGAAGACACCTTTCACCTTTTTGGAATTCTTAAATGAATTTCTTTTTTCATTTAACCCTAACTGAACATATAACTTCTCAAAGTTGGTTAGGAATATTAGTATATGAACATTTGTGTTATATTTAAGGAAAAAATTACACTAATCAATATTTTTCGAGCATCTTGTAGCTCATCATTTATCTCACGCTCTTTTATGATTAAAATATCTTCAATGTTTCAAGTTCTTTATTTAACGTTTTCTTTTCAACTAATTCATTCTTGAAAGCATAATATTTGATGTTTAAAAAAATGAACAAATATGGAAGAAAGTTGAACAAAAATCTAGAAGTATTGAAGACATTTTAACGATAAGAAAACATGAGATAAATGATGAGTTGCAGAATGCTGAAAACTCATATTAATCAGTGTAAGATAAGTTTTAGATATAACATAATTTTTATATGATTATTTTCAAAATCAATTTAATAAGTTATATGTTCACAGATGGGTTATTGAAACAAACAATCGACATTACATATATAAACTCAACTCGACAAAACAAGATGAGATATTCACAAAGAAACAAAAAAAAAACATAAATTCAATATCAATATCAATCTAAAACACAAACTCAATAAAAATAACTAAACTAGACCATATATATTTTCATAACTTTGAGTAATATAACAAATAAATAACAACAATAACAATAACACCAACAACTTACATTAATCAACTACTAAAAAAAAACTCTTAACAAAACTATAACAACATCACCAATAAACCTATAAAATAAATTTGTTTAAACAACAACAAGATATAACCTCTAGGGTATATGGTCTCAACAACAAGTCTAAACAACAACAACAACAACAACAACAACAACAACAACAAACCTATAAGATAAATATGTTTAAACATAAACAACAAGAAGATAAACCCTATAGGGTTTCAAATCTCAAAAATAACAAAAACAAGAAGAACAACAAAAATAACAATAATATGAGTAGTGATATTTGACGTACCAAATCTTTGAAGAAGAATTGAAAGAAAATAAATTGGATCTCTGAAGAAGAAACGAAAACCCTAAACACATATCATCTTCGTATTGAAGATGATATGTGTTTATGGCTCTCGCTGTTTATGTGTAGACAAGTGAAATTAATCCCTCTTATTGTTTATTCGTTAAAATCTATTTATATTGTTTAGACAATTGAAACTCAATGATATATATATATATATATATATATATATATATATATATATATATATATATATATATATATATATATATATATATATATATATATATATATATATATATATATATATATATATATATATATATATATATATATATATATATATATATATATATATATATATATATATATATATATATATATATATATATATATATATATATATATATATATATATATATATATATATATATATATATATATAACAAAATCGAGGTGAAAAATAACATGTTTTTTTTAGCTTAAATAGGTCTAACTCCTTGTTGTTTTTAAGGAATACATGTTTTCTGCATTTGATCCAACAACGATCTAGAACATATGGTTCAGGTTATGCACATCTGTGATTATTTCACCCTTCTCACATGTTCTAACAATTAGGTTAGAGGATGAGGCTAAATCCTAGTCTAATTTAGCTTTTGCATATGATTGAGCTTAAATAACTTTTCCTTGTGGAAGTCTAACTCTAAACACGTGTTCTTCGCCGGTATATCTATCAACCTTCACAATCCACCGGCTTCGAGCATTTCCTCTAAATCTTGTAACCAACAAACCTTCTCCTATAGGAAGCAATTTAGTTATCGATCCATTAGATCTCCAAGAACCTTTACAGCTAAATGCATTATAACCAACAACAACTCTACCCTTTTCCTTACAACCACCAATTTGGACTAATTTCAGAATCTCTTTATGATTCACAAGGTTGCAATCAATTACCACAAAATCAGCTTGATTTAACACCGATAATTCTTGTGCTACTTTTCCAGTCATGAACTGAACTTCATTAGAAACTACTCCTAAGAAATTTTTGGATGCAATTAGATCTTCATGGTTGGGAACAATGCAAACAACATTTCCATTAGTTTGATTAGCAGCAGCAATTAGTGCAAATATTGTTGAGTCAGCTGCAGCAGCACAAGCAACAACCATTAACTGTGCATTGTTTCCTGCTGCTAATGCTGAAATATATTCAGCAACAGATGGTTCTTTAGACTTTTGACCCTATTGAAAAATAACCAAAAATCAGATCAGAAAAAAAATTGTTGTAGAAAGGAAAATTCTTACAAGATAATGTATATAACTTGGAAGTACTTGTGAAAACAAAATAATGATTAATATACTGACCATTTTGAAAGTGCTGAGAAAGGCTTTTGTGGCATTTTCTGCAGACCAATAAGCCATGGTTTTGATGTATGTCACTCGTTTAAGTCCTTTGAATATTTTCTTTGATGGAATTGGAAATTTAGAATAGAGGATTTCTTATATAGTGTGATGCAAATGTTGTTTTGAATTTCATTGTTTTTGAGGTTTGTATAAATAGAGAGAGGAGGAAACATATTCTGAACATATGCATGTGGTGTTCTAATTTCATAAAAAACATAAAAAACAATGTGACAGTATAATTTCATAACTTGCATGTGGTGTTCCAAGTAGGTTTATGTTAAATGTTTAATTACTTAATTAGCAACACTCCCAAAATATTCTTTTTATTTCCAATACAATTTTTTCTGAAAAAAATTAAAATAATATTTTTAAGAAAAGGCCAACAAATATCAGGATCTGATATGATGCATACATATAGTTTTTATAGTTTTATTTTATGATTTTACATAATGCATACAAATGATTTTTATAGTTTTATTTTATAATTTTACATACTGCATTCATTTTATTAGTTTTATTTTATAATTTTACATAATGCATTAATTTTGATAGTTTTATTTTATAATTTTACATAGTGCATATATTTGAAATCAATATTGGACTCTCAAATCAATAAATTTTTTATACTTTGATTATATAATTTTACAAAACTTTAATACATTAATTTTATTTTATATTTGAATGACAAATGATTTTTTTATTAGCTTTATTTTATAATTTTACATGATGCATACAAATGATTTGAAATTAATAATTGACCTTAAAGTTAATACATTTTTACATTTTTATTTATCATTATACAAAATTTTAATGCATTAATTTCATTTTATATTTTGAGTGACAAATGATTTTTTTATATATTCATTTACAATTTATAATGGAAGCTCAAGTCGAGCTTTGTTTTTAATTATTATTTATGATAATTCTTAAATTTTATTTCAATCTCTTTTGTATACAGTTTAGATACCATTTATAGGTCTTAATTAAATATTTAAAAACGCATGGTATGATCATCTCATTTGTTATCAATTTTTTATGATGAAATAATATTCATTATTATTTGTGTAAGAGAAAAAAAAACTTTTTTCGTCAATTTTTATGATAAAAACGCATTATTCTACACCAACAATCAATTACAATATGACTATGCCGACAAAACTTACATCCTTAAGAATTGTATAGACTTCTTGCAACCAAAAAAAAATTAGAAAGTAATAATTACAATTAATTTTAGGACTGAAACAAATAGCTAACCACCATTAAGATGTATAAATAATTTTATGAATTATTTCATCATGGCAACCGAAACCGTAATTAAAGATTATCTTATTTCTATACCATCATATACACTAGCAAGTATCAAATCAAATCAAAGAAACAGTCTTCTTGAAAATAGTACCAACCAACTTCAAGAACCAATCAAACAAATGCTTACAATAGTTATCCATAGCACACGAAGACACCCCCTCCCATCCATAAACAAAGTATATTCCATCGTAATTCAAGAAGAAAGTAACAATGTGTCTTTACTTTCTAAAGATGATTCCAATACCAATCTTGATGAAGCTAACACTTTAATTAATGCTTACGACTCAAGAAAATACATTGATTGTGGTAAACCTCCAAATTCCTATGGTGGCTCTTTTAATCCTAAGAAGAATAGTAAAATGTGTACTTTTTGCCACAAGTCAGGCCACACTGTTGATGTTTGTTATCGTAAGCATGGTTCCCTCATAATTTTGCCAAGAAGCAAGCTTCTGCAAATACCTCTAGTGCATCTCATTGTGATACACAATCTGTGGTTAACAATGGTGAAGAAGGTCCTGCAGGTAACCCTGGTGTCAGGATTACTCAAGAACAATATTCTCAATTGGTTGGCTTTCTAAAACAAACCAATTTTCCGCCTTTTACACCACTCACCAACCCTAGTACTGCTAATCATATTTCCACTCATTATGGTCATACACCAAATGAGACTTTAGGTAAATCTTTAGTGTCAACAGTTTCATGATCTACCCACATCAAACCTAAATTTTGGAGTCTTGATTCAGGTAATGATCATGTCTGCTTCTCTTTATATTGGTTTAGCTCATATCATAAAATTAGGTCTGTTAATATATGTTTACCTAATGGTTCTATTGTTGTAGCTAAACATGTAGGCACGATCAGTTTTTCACCCGAATTATACCTTGCTAATATTTTATACACCCCTGATTTTTCCTTGAATCTTTTATCTGTTTCCAGATTATGTCATAACATCAATTGTATCTTTCAATTTGCTGACACTACACGTCTTATACAGAATGTGAAAACCAAGAAGATGATTAGTTTGGTTAACCAATTTGAAGGTCCACTACAAGAAAATTGGCAAATTGTGACGGTTCATTTTGACATATTACGACGGTTTTAACCGTCGCAATTTGTATGTTATGACGGTTTCAACCCCGTCGCAGAAACATGCGTCGCGAGGCCGTATTGCGACGATTGTGAAAACTGTCGTACAAACCGTCGTTATTTTCACGGCGGATAGCTAACTGTCGTAATTTCCACTCCAACTGTCGTTATAAGTCACGACGGTTAAGAAATTGACGTAAATTACAAATAACGATGGTTCAAACCGTCGTAATTATATTTACTAATTCTAAATATTATTTATGCTAGTTGCAACGGTTTAAACCGTCGTAATTTTATCTATAGAAATTTTTTTATAATATTCTTTTTTTATTTAAATTACTTTCATCTCATTTTCTTTTATAATATTAGTTTTTTTAATTTAAACATTATTGTTTTTTTGGTAATATATCAAATATATAAAGACTCACGTATATCAAATATATAAAGACTCACATATAATAAATATATAAATTTATATAACTTAAAAAACAATTGATATTTTATTATATCACTTTTCTAAATAACTTATTATATTTTCTACTAAATATATACTTATGAATATCTAAATGATCAAATATCATAATCTATAACTTGATATATACAATATAATAAATATAATTGTACAACCTATGATGATCCAAGATATTCTGCCCAATTTTCCACACCAAGTGATGATCCAAGATTTTTTACCGATGGCTGAAGAAATCTTTGGTATGATTTTGCCTTAGAGGATAGACATGAACATCTACAATAGCTTAAACATTACTTTCAGTTAGCACCAATAAAGAAAATCACTTGTGGTATTCTAGTATCATCGTGAGCCCTTCATAATTAGTTTTATAGTCTTCTAGTTGCTGCTAATCTTTTGGCTTCACCAACACACTCTTCCAAAAGCAAAACTTCTTCAAGTTGTGTAGGGTATTCTGGTAGCTTTTTGTCTGAAAAACACTTGTAATTGTTAAGAATAAGAATAAGAATGTTTTACTCCTTGAAATGTCACAGCAAAACTAAGAATATGCTCCCCACCGATAAGCTTCTCTATCTGAATGAACCATTCCATTTCATATTGGTACCATGCCCACACAGAAATTGCAGGTATGCATTTAATATCTGCATGCATAGTAATGTCGGTTGTTATTGTTGTTATCTATACAAAAGAGATTTAATATCTGCATGCATAGCGATGTCGGTTGTTATTGTTGGAAAAAGCGAATGCCGGGTCCAGTTGAAGCAACCTCCTCAACACTGGAAGTAGCCCACGAGGATAGTGTCTGTAAAAAAAACAAAGAAACGTTCAGATGAAACTAATTAGGATGGAAATATTTACAGGGGAAAAATATAGTTGATGTTTGAGAACAAATATGATGGAAATCACACCATGATTGTGCCAGCAGCTGATGCTGCCCTAGCAGTAGCATATTCTCCTACGTAAAAATACTGTCATTAAATTATATATAACAACAAGAAAATATATGATACAATGTAAATAATATGCTTAATACAGACCAATGAATTTAATGGCATTATATACCTTCAGGGTTAGCCATCTTTTGCATAGCTGTAGGAGCAATCATGATAGGCATTGATATATCAAATCCTAACACATTTGTTGTTAAATCTATCTTGCTTACATCCCTAAGAATTCGCGGCCTGAATCTGTTTTCGGTAAACATAGATACTGAAATAAGGGCTTTAAAATAACACATAAGATTAAATCTAAAGGCTTTAGGAAACAAAGTAGATTACAGAATCCTTGAGAATGCGTTTTTGTTCTCTTTCAATGTCCATTCATCTTCTGCCCCTGATGCATAGTAGTCATAAATCATCTTTGGCAATTTTTGTTTTGCAATTGCTTCAAACTCGCTTACATTAGTTATCAAATCCATCTTCCTGATATGAGTAAAACACAATGACTAAACAACATGAATTAATTTGAATATTTAAAAATGTTTTATTAATACTGTTAAATCACAATTAATATCTATGGAACACATACACATACACATACACGATATTGACACGTATCATGACAAAGATCAAATCACAATTACTATTTATGAAACACAAACACATACACGACACTAACACGTATGCAGACACGCACATGTTGAGTGCTACATAGGTAAATACCTAACTCAATTTCAGCTATTTTTTCCGATTGATGAGTATTTACAGAAATATGATTGTTAAATGAAAGGAAAGGTACAACAAAGTATGATTGTTTAAAATTCAACAAAAACACCGTAATTTCTCGATCTGCATACAGACTGGAGGTGTGAGGTTTTAAGTGTGAAAGTGGCCGGTTAATTTCGTTCTTACTTGGCAACAAATTGTCGATACCCTTATAAAATGATTGTTTAAGCCCAATTTTGAATTTCTAGCAAGCAAGTTGGGCATCAATAGATATCTACACAGCTTAAGGAAGGCGGTTAATAGTTGTATGGACAACTAAATATTCATAGTTCAAATCACTTTGGGCTTGATTTAGTTTGATTCACATTCAAATTTTTATTCTAATTTAATTTACTTTTATTCTATCCAGGTCCTCTTAGTGACACAAATTATCAGGAACTCAACTTTGAGTTACCCAAATCTAAAAATAACATTAGTTACTACAGAAATTTTTTGTTAAGTACTGCAAACTAGAAAGTGTGGTGATGGGTACAACAATTGATTAATAACAACAAAAAAATCAAACAGAAAAAATCAAAAGAAACAAAATAAACAACACCCTTTAAAATAACATAAAAATAATTGATCATATATTCTAATGAAGATTAAACTGCAGAGACAATGAATGGTTTTAACATTGTTTCTTAAACTTCTATGCTTCTGCTGATTTTCTATGCCAATTTTCAAGGCCTTGTTACGTTTTTCTTAATTACATATAGAACAGATTCAATTCAGACATGATGATAGTGGGAATGGGAAGGCACTTGCTCTAGCAGTTCTATCCCAAACTATCAACTTGAGATCATCTCAGTGAGTAATGAACCAGTATGTGGTTATAATGACCATTGTTTCATGTGAATTCTAAAACTATTAGGAACTCATGGCTATGCAACTCACTCTGTATGTGTACAAGTCTCTTCTTTATTATCTGTTGCCGCACACAAAGCCTTCCAGACATGAACCAGCACTTTAACAGGCGGTCGCAAGTTCTAGCAAACAAATTGGTGACTCTTCATTAGTACTTAAAAAATATTTAAAAATATATATAAAACAACTATCTAATTGTATCCTAGTTAAATGCTCTATTAGGTGACCGTTAACTCTACATACATTTAGCCAACCAAAAAATAGCAGTTGTTTTTTTAGTGCAAACCAAAATTTGACTTTACCTTGAAAACTAACACCATTTCTGATTCTTGACGAACAATCAAGGATAGAGTCCAGTAACAAGTCATTGGAGTCACACATTCTAATAAAACAGGTTTTAGAATCTTGTCAATGGGAACAAAGCATCAGATGACTTTTCCACTGTAACAAAGAATCAACAAAATAAGTACTTTATGGAATGGAATATGAGAAATCCATGCCAGAGTTAGAAGGATCACAATGAAAGTCAAGTGAGCTAACTAGTTGAATGGGCTTGAAAAAGTTAGATATGATCTCATAACTAAAAATAAAACCTACAAGATATTTTCATTTTCATGAAAAACATATTGATGCGGATTATCTGCACTAAGAGAATTCCCACATTCACACAATTAAATACTCTTCCACAATTTCATTCTTCCAAAGGCCCATATCACCTCATTTTAAGTTTTCAATTTTGAGCCGAAAACAACATCATCAAATGCACAATTGAATAAGGATAAACTTTTACATTAGCAAATCTGATACAGTTAATGAGAATGAACAAATTGGTTCAATTTAACATATTAAATCTGATAGATTATTAACTAGAAGTGTTGGTATAGTAGTTACTTTGCCCTGTAAAAATGGGATCCTTATGCTTCAAGTGGAAAATTTATCTACTGAAACCCCAAAGCAGAGAGCACAATTTATTTTACTACAACGACGGTCTTGAATAGAGTCAAAACCTTAACAATGTCATTAGAAAACAGAACAAAAAGTAAACCATAAAGACTTCATGTCAGTCTTATAGGTAACTATAGAGAGCTTATTGAATAAAACTCTAATAGAACTTACTGAATAAAGAGCTTACTAATAAAACTCTAATAGATCCCTTCAGTTTGATGAAAACCTTGATCTTATGCCTAAAGTTTTTTCTTTGTACAGAAAGATATAAGAGAAGAAACACTGCAAAAAGCAAATGATAACAATATGTTGAATCAATGATTTTTGGTCTTATAAAACCATCTAGTATACATCTAAATAAATTCAAACTAAAACATTAAAAATATACACTCTTTTGAACTATCTGAGACAAGACATAACTAACTACAGAGCCAATTCACGTGAAATTTCTCTCTTCCTTTGCTTCAAGGACATCAACTTCTTCGTTGGATAGAAGATCCACAATGGGTTCATATACGTCCCACTCCTTTCTTTTCCACAATGTGTACCAAGCATTTCAAAAAGTGGTCTCAAGCAAGTAACAGCATGTGAAAATTCAAGTGAATCTCCACTAATATGATGATTATAATATCAAGAAAAAAGGGATAATTTTCCAATATCCCTTCTTCAAAAGCTGGGGGATCCAAGAAACCAAGTCTTCACAAGACATGCGTCAAAATGTACCATGTCAATATTACAAAAGATATGACTAAGCTAAATCTTGATACTAATAAAAGAAAAGAAAAACAAACTACTTACAGTGATATTTGAGCCCTTTCCATCTAATTTGCTCCCCTTACTACAACAAATATCCAATTTTTTATGACAAAATTAACTGATAAGTATGGAATAATAAATGTTTATATAAGTATACATACCCTGGTTCAGTCACATAAACAAGACCACATTGAAATCAGAAGTTGCTAGCCTGCATTAAAGGTGATAAACATAACCATAATGAGAAAGGTAACTTAAAATTTGAAGAGCAACAGAAGCAACCTGTGGAGGGCTGCTTAACATATTCTGAGTTCAAATGAGAAAAAGATGTTAGTTATTATACAACACCATGACAAGTTACCAATCCAGATAACTATGCTGCAGTAGTAACCAGAAGAAGAAACAAATTGATACTCTATTTCATACATATGAGATGGAAAAATGGCCATTTATGGAAAAATAGTAATTTAACAGAAGAAGGCACCTAGAGACAGAAGCACCAATAGAATATTTCTCCCACTATAAATTGTAGAATTAGGATGTGTGGGAGCTAACTCATCTTCTGCTGCAGTAGAAGTTGTCTGCAATATTTACGAATAATCAGATTAACATAAATTGGCAGAAAAAAAGGTACTTCGATAACTCAACATTGGCGATACACGAGTTGAGTACATACGGACCTGATAAGCTTCCATGGAACGATCAGCAGCCTCTTTCCTCTTGTCACCATTCTTAAACTCTGCCAAATACCGATAATAATCCCCTTTCATCTTATAGAAAAATACGCTAGATTCACCAGCAGAAGATGAAGGAATAAGGTGATCATCAATAATAGTCATGATATCACTGCAAATATTCGACAAATCAGATTCCACCTTGTTTCTATACTCCCTTATCCTCTTCACACTCACATCATTCCCTTTTGCATCTTCCCTATGCTCAATCGAGGATAGAATCCTCCATGAAGCCCTATGAGCACCCGACACATTCTTCATTGCTTCCACCATTTCTATCACATCAAAACAGTAAAAGTTAAAATTTTTTTTACAGAATTCGATAACCCAATTCCAATTTCAGACTCAAATCGTAAAAAATAACCGATAAAAACTCAAAAGGGGCATCTTTCAAACAAAATCAAACGGTGTAACCCAAAAACTAAATTGAATTAAAAAAAGCTGTAATCGAATTAAATATCAAGGTTAGAATAATGGAAGCTATCAAATCTGAATATATATGAATCAAAGGAAGAAAAAATGTGGAAGTTAAGAAAATGGGTTACCATCATAACGTTCGGCTTGTTCAGCGAGTTTGGTTTATATATATATATATATATATATATATATATATATATATATATATATATATATATATATATATATATATATATATATATATATATATATATATATATATATATATATATATATATATATATATATATATATATATATATATATATATTGTTACCAAAGTTAATTTTAATAAAAGTTAACTATTTAAATAATAAAACAAAACATATTTTACTATTATTTTAGACAAAAATATTAAGCTACATTGTCATGATAATTATAATAATAATTTATTAAATTAATTAATAAAAATGAAAAGGTTGAAAAATAAAAATGAAAGAAAAAAAATGGAAAATCAAAGGAATAAAAAAAATAGTGATTATGATTGGCTAAAGTAATTGCGACAGTTCGCTTGAACTGTCGCGAGTGTGGAAAGATGGCGGGTTTTTGGTAACTGTCGCAATTATTATATACAACATGCTTAAAAAATCTGCGACGGTTGGCTCAAACCGTCGTAAGAGTTGTCGTAGTCCAAGAATAAGGACGATTTTTTTATAACTGTCGCAAAAAATCTACGACAATTGACCCTAACTGAATTGACAACCGTCGCAATCCAGGAATAAGGACAGTTTTGTGATAACTGTCGCAACTCAAGTGTCGTAAATCTTTTTTTTTTCTTGTAGTGGTCTGTACAGACTTATGATTAATGATGGTTGCCTTACTGCAGAAGAAACTCCTATTCAAACCAACATCTCTAATATCTCTCTATCCAAAACATCGGTACCAATTACTTTCATTAATAATTGTAAGTGATCCCTAAGCAAGTCATATGGCAAGTTAGATTGGGCCACTTATCT